AGAGCTTTCCACTGGGTTTTTCTAAATCATTACAGACAAAAGCTCCTTCACGAGGGAGAAAAATTACACTTGATTTAAGAACCATAAGAATGCGGAACTGTGAATGGTTGAATACCTCAGCTGGAATGGGTATCGATAAGGAAACAGATGCGTGGAGCGGTGACGTGGAGGAGAGGCACACAACAAGAGAGTCCTAACAAGGCAGGAAGGCAATTACTGGACACATAACGGTGAGGTGACTAGAGAACTGTCGCTCTGGGTGGAGTGCTCCACCGCGGACAAAAACTGGTGTCAGAAAGTGACAAGCGGTGAGTGGACGGGTGGAGATAGGTTATATAAGTTACAGTTCCGAGACATAATCAAAGCAGTTAGACAACGAGGAGCAGGAGGGTGCGATGGTGGAAGTAGAGTGCTGGCAGGGTTATTTATATAAGACGAGAATGAATAGACTGACAGGGAGGAGATTTACATTCCTGCATCAGATTTATATAAAGCCTGTCAGTCAAGGAAGATTTATAGTGCTTTGGCTTGTCACCGCGTGAGATGCTTTTATGTACGTCTGCTTTACTTTTCTGTTTATTATTAAACGTGTATATGTGCTTCATGTTTCTGTTCATTATTAAAACGTGTTTAGTTTCTTAACATTTCCGATGGGGGTTTTTTCCCCATTAAAACGTGTATATCTGCTTCACTTTTCTGTTCATTACTAAAACGTGTCTATCTTCTTAAATTTTTCTGTTCATTATTAAAACGTGTAGATCTAGTTCACTTTTCTGTTCATTATTAAAACAAGTACGCGTGACAGAGGTATACGTGCGTTTGCTTGTTGAGTGATGGGTGAACCCACAGAACAAAACATCGCTAATCAGGCAGCTGTAGGGAAATGTAACCGAGGCCGATGAAACAAGATTGTGACAACAAGATGTGTAATAGTTTCTACAGATGTCTGAGGCATGCTGACAAACTAGATTACTATACTCGTGTTATCACTTCTTCTTCTTCTTCTTCTTCTTTTCTTGTTCTTCTTCTTCTTCTTCTTCTTCTTCTTCTTCTTCTTCTTCTTCTTCTTCTTCTTCTTCTTCTTCTTCTCTTTTTCTTCTTCTATTTCTTCTTCTTCTTCTTTTATTCCTTTTTCTTCTTTTTCTTATTCTTCTTTTTTTCTTTTTCTGTTACTGATGATGCTGTTACTGCTGATGATGCTACTACTGCTGCTTCTACTGCTGCTGCTGCTGATACTACTACTACTACTACTGCTGCTGCTGCTGATACTACTACTACTACTACTACTACTACTACTACTACTACTACTACTACTACTACTACTACTACTACTACTACTACTACTACTACTACTACTCTACTTCTTAGCGTTCATTACTTGTAAACTCCGGTGTTCACTACTAGTCAACTCCGGAGAAAAGTTTTGCTTATTCCTGCACTCCTTGACTTTGGTCTTGATCCAGAATTCGAGGTTTGTGTGCATATCTGTTTACATGTGTGGCTTATTTGCATGCAAACACCTCCTTGATGTGTTGCTCATTTTAATCAATACATTTATTATATGATATTATATTTAACGCAAAAACTGCTAACTATCTATTTCACTGATATAAAATAAATAATATACACGTACTAATTTAAGGCCTAACGACGCGTGGTATGGCAATGTGTATTCAGACCAGACACTTCGCCATTAGGAATAGCCTTTCACAGCGTCTCCTTTCTGTATACTTTCAAACTATTTTATTTCATCTTGCCATATATGCAGTAAGTGTTAAACTAGTTGTGTATCCTCTAAAGGACGTTGACGAACCATCTTAGCATTTTTTTTTTCGGCTTTTGCGGTTTTTCTAGGCATATTTTACATTTAGTAGTTTGTCACTGCCCTAAACGGTCAGCTCTAGGTACCACTGTCGAGAACTAACTCAAGTTAAACCGTGCGCAGCTGGGATCAAACCCGGCACCCTGGCATTAGGAGGTGCGTTTGCAACGCCTAAGCCACAGACGTAGTTAGCTGCTGCGTCAGGGCAGGAAGAAAACGGGCCCCTTTGTTCGCTTCGTATAAAGTAATTTTCAGTGTCTCTTATATTTCTGCGGTCTATCTACTGTGCGGCCAACCTTTGGCTCTGTTACCACTGTATCTGTAAAACTTTGTTGTCTGTGGTGTCCTGTATGATGCCGACCTTGTTACTTGGCCAAACCATTTGTTTTGTTGTCTACCTAGTTCAGTATTAGTTGTAGTGTTGTATCTAGGGGAGATAAACCTGCATAACTAGCTGACGAGTTCTTGGGTGCAGTTGCAGTGTCCGTTCCCATCACTACCACTACTACTACTACTACTACTACTACTACTACTACTACTACTACTACTACTACTACTACTACTACTACTACTACTACTACTACTAGTAGTAGGAACCAACAATCCGCATACAAATAAGACAGATCTGTGAAACGATATGTACGTAACTGTCAGGTTCTGGAACCAGACTTAACTCCAGAGATGGACGAAGAACCAGAACTTTTCACCGTTTACAGCCGGTGAACGCGAAGAAGTCGCACAACATTAGTAGTGGTAGTCGTAGTGGTAGTAGTAGTAGCAGCAGCAGCATAGTAGTGCTGCAATGCACAGCGGTAGTGCTGGAGTTGGCCGTGTCCCCCCCCCCCCCTCCCCACCCAAAAAATGGATAAGAGAGATACAACCAAAGGTGATTTTTAACTAACCGGGCGGATGATGTACAGGGGCCAGGTCACAGGTTTAAATAAATAATCAAATCACGAGGTTAAATCGGCATAAATAACGTAACAGTCCGTTGAGAATTAACGCTGTTGAAATGTGGACACATAGAACAAATGCAGTGAAGTTCCTGAAAAAAAAAATGGGGACAAAGTGTGGGGGAGGGGGGGGGGCAGAGACAGATCAGTTTGAGAAAGGCGATTAAGTAGGTAAAAAGTAAAGGTTAGGTATAAACACTCTGCCGTGGGTGGCACGTAGTTTGTGTAGTATATGCACCTTCCGGCCAAACACATACGATTTTAACACGCTATAAATTAGTCGCATTTGCGACATGCTATTTTTAAGAGGGCAGGGGAAAGGGGAGGTCAATACCCCTCTCCCCCTCCCGCCCTCCCCTTTTTGGTACCACTCCGTTTTGTTTGCAGAATAGGACCCCTGGAATTATTACTGTGATACAATACCCACTAGACGATCAATTACAGCAGTTTCATCATCTTCTTGTTCTTCTTGTTATTCTTCTTCTTCTTTTTGTTCTTCTTCTTCTTTTTTTTTTTCTTCTCTTCCTCTTCCCCCTAACACATTATCTTCGTCTTCTTCTTCGCGTTCACGAACTGTAAACCACGACAGAAGGTGGTGATTGTTCCTCCACCTCCGGGATTTAGTCTTACTTCAGAACCTCAGTGTTGCGTGCTCATCCATTTCACATATCTGTCTTGTTTGTGTGCAGACTGTTGGTTCTTTGCCTCTCATGCAGATGCACATCGACTTCGAAGAATCCATCTTACCCCGCCTAGTTAGTCGACGCCAACGGCATGCTTGTTAGAGTATTCTTATTTCCCCCCCCCCCCCCCTCCCACAACGGGATCCCAGAACCCACACGGGGAGCAGGTTATTCTAATGTAGAGAACTCCTGATATGACGTCCACATACATCTTACATTTCACGACTGATAATACATTTTTATCTCAAAATGTCATTATTGCTCCCCGTATGGCTTATGGGACCTATTGTGGGGGAAACAAGAAATGACTCAATGCCTTCCCCACAAGCATGTCGTAGAAGTCGATTAAATGGGGACATCCTTTAAAGTCGGAGTACATCTGCCTGAGAGGCAAGGAACCACAAGTCTGCATACAAATAACTGAGATCTGTGAAACGGATGTGCATGCAGCACTCAGGTTCTGGAAAAAAAATACTTAAGTCCAAAGCTGGGCGAACGCGCAGAGCTTTCAGAAGAAGAAGAATATAAATATTGTCAGCAAAAATGTCGCTGCATAGCTTAGTGGTACGATTTAATGATCTCTGTGTGTGTGTGTGTGTGTGTGTGTGTGTGTGTGTGTGTGTGTGTGTTGTGTGTGTTGTGGGGAGGGGGTGTGTATGTATGGGTGTGGTTTCACCAGGGCTCCCAATGATGCGACGGAGTTGCGCTACGCTGAGATTCTCCCGTGTTAACGCTGCCATGTGCTTAAAGCTTGCAATAGTGGCTAAGATATCGGATCATGTTCACACAGAACGACACCATATTGTGCTCTGCAGGCAGAACAGTCCTGGGGGCCAGTGGTACCTTCTGTATGACTACTAGCAGCTGAAAATCGAGGTGATGATGGTAACACAAGCTTTTATGTGCATCGCAGGACTATTCTCATGTGTGTGTGCTGAGTGATTCCATGAGCATGACCCGAAGGGTCCAAATGGGTTTTGTACACAGATAGCGGATCGAGTCACTGCAAAACTCTATTGTGCATGGAGTTACCGTCATCTTTGTACCAGGGCAAGCAGGTGTTGTTGGCAATGACAAAACGGACAGATCAGACGGCTCTGTCTTAGTTACAGAGGGCCGGCCCATGGATCATGCCGACATTGGTAATGCCATTAGAGGGAAATGGCGTTGGAAGGATTTTGGCAGCAGCACTTCCCTGTCTTTGCTAAAAGTGCAAGAACTGGGAGTAAAGATCGGCACAGTCAGGCACGAGAAGCATACCGGATGCACGAGAAGTCTTGCCAACCAACATCAAAATTGGACTATCAACCGCGGGACGCTGATTTAAATGTAGAAGGGGTAATCCGAGGATCTATGGACGTGTCCGGATTGCCGTGAAGATAACCCAACTCATAACAGACTAACACCCCTCAAAAAAAAAAAAAACAAGTAACATGCTCAGCGGAAGACTTGTACATTGATACAGATATGGCCGATATGAAATGGAAAACACAATCCAATAATGAGGAACGAACAATTGCAATGAGGAAAAACAATTCTTACCTGAATCAGATGTCTACCGCTGCCATTGTCAGGAAACATGAGTCTCAGAGCTTGGCGCTTTAACTCCACAAGGCATCCGTTACAGTGCTCACAGCAAATTCCTCCCTGGTGGTGTATCCGAGGTTCCGCCGCGGCGCCTAATCCTAGTAACGGAGGAGGAGACAATACTCGTCGGTCTGGATAGTCCGCTCCTGGCAGTACCCTTCTAGCGGGAAGAACATCACTGCTGGGAGACATAGGACGAGACGAGTAGGGTCCCGAGATGTAGCGAATTGACGACGGCGACATGCACCGCATAATTCCGGGGTTGGTGTAAGTCTTCGGAGTGCTGCAGTTCATCGCTGGTTCATTCGAAGGCGAAGCTGGACGACCAAAGACAAACGATACCTCGTCCACAGGACCAACTGATCTCTTGACTGCCACCTTATTTGTCAGCGGGTGCATTGTTCCTCGAATAGGATAATCCATGACCACAAGTGAGGACGAATTTGTGCTGGTACAATTATCAACAAGTGAAGTGGTCACTTTATTCCTAGTATCGTCAAGTTTATCCTTTTTAATATTATTATAATCATCACGGTCACGTTTATCTGTAGAAGTCATCGATGTGTCAATAGATGCGTTATCAGCTGACATACTTACTTTCAAGTTACAGATTCCAGCGTTAGTGTCAGCATTAGACCTAGCAACAGACTCATCCGCTGTGGTGTCACCAGTCACATGCATTTTTCCATCAGACTGAGACGTCTCTACAGAAGTGGCTTCCGAGTCTTTGGACATCGCCTGGCACAGCTCATGTTGCCTAACGTCTGTGGCCTTCTCACTGTCCCCAGAAGATCTTCCCGACTCTACCTGCTGTTGTATGCTGGGAAAAGCTTCCGGCGACTCGCATCCTACAACGCTCCTCTCCGTCGGCTCGTGCTGTGAATGAAAAACATATTCGTCAAATTCAGTCACCTACTCAACATAAGAAACAAATCAACCAGCTCCCTTTACAAATTGACATTAAGTAAACTAAACCTCCAAGTACTCTCTGGACAACCCTCTCCTACCTCCACCCTATTTGTTCTATCGGTAAATAAATCTCTCTACACTTCCATTCTACGGTTGATGGTTTTTATTTACGCAAGATCTTCCTCGTCGACAAAGAACAAATAACTAATTCGTGCAAAGACTAACAACTGCCTATTGACAGACTGACGAAGACACATTCAGTGATCATTGCGCCCTCGACGCTCCTTATAATTGTCATCTCTGTATGAAGGAGGCATCTATGGACCCCTCCAGGTGTACTTTCAGTTTTACGCACTGGTCTATGAAACGTGCAACATCGTTGAGGAAGATGAATTAAACATTGTGAACTCATTAACCTGGCCATTTTTAGCCAGAAGGCAGCTTTTTTTTTTTTAATCACGTAGGTTTCTGGATATTTTTTTTTCTTCTCAAGGGTGTGTGTGCATTTGTTAGTGAGTATTAGTGTGTGTATTTGTGTGTGTGTGTTTTTAAGTATTTTGTATGTGTTTTTGTGTACATATGTAAGACAGAAAGGGGAATGATGACAATATATGTGTTACTTAGTGACTAAGAATGTGCGTGGGTGTTTGTGTGTGCGCGCGCATGTGTATGTGTCAGCGTGCCTGTGCGTGCGTGCTAGTATCAACCTTTACAAAACAGATCTCTTCACTGGAAGAATGCACATTTGTTAATCATATTTTCCCCAGAGATTTTTCCCCCTGACGGATGTGTGTGTAAGAGAGAAACACACACAGGGAGAGAGAGAGAGAGAGAGAGAGAGAGAGAGAGAGAGAGAGAGAGAGAGAGAGAGAGAGAGAGAGAGAGAGAGAGAGAGAGAGAGAGAGAGAGGGATAATATAATCACCGTGGTTGTCCAAGGTAAACTCATTAATTGCAAATGCAGGTAAAAAAAAATGATCAGGTGATTTTAGAGCCCTAGGACGAAGTTGATCAGAGGATAGTGCTTCCGCTCTAAGTTGAAGCACACCTGGTTCGTTTCACCGTGTCTGGATTACAGTGTCTGCGCTCGTTTCCTTGGTTTAAACCAGCAGACGTGTCCTCTTGATACGTGGTGGATCCTGTCCTCCGGGGAATTTACTAAAAGTTGTGTGTCTCAACCGCCAGCGGGAACATGGATGGGACAATGAACGAGGTAAAGGCGAAGGGATGCGCCCACTCTTCCTCTCAAGACACACCCTGAAGCTGGAAATTAGTTATTACTGAGGATTATCATCACAGCATTCCGGACAGACCCACAGGTGCTCCGATCTCATCCTCAATAGCCCCACAAGCGGAAACATCACACAATGCTCGTTTCTGTTTTGAGAATTTGGAAATATTGAACTCGAATTAGAGGTGGAAAAAAAAAGGGGGGGGGGGGGTGGGTTTTACATTTAAACCCACATTATTACTTAACTCCTAATACTTCAGATGATTGTTTTTAATATGAATATTTCAGTTTGAGTGGTTCATTTACTAGCGGCATATTGTGTTTTATATTGTGCTGCTGGTGTGATACAGTGGAACATCATCCTCATCACCATCATCCTCCTCGTATGAAGTTTATACGATATACAGTGCTCGCAGCCTATTCCGCCATTCAGTTTCTTCTTGTTCTTGTTCTTCGTCGTGTTTTTCTTTTTGTTGTTCTTCTTCTTACTCTTCTACTTCTCACTCTTCTACTTCTTTTTTTCTTCTTCTTCTTCCTCTTCTTCTTCTTCTTTTTCCAGGCTGTAAACTGGCTCTTTACTTTATAACTGGTCGAATTTTGTTTTCTTTACTATGGCCAGTAATATATGGTGGTCTTCATTTTGTCATGTGAAAATATAATTATCTATTATATTTTCTTATATCTCCCTCATTTCCCTCTCTTCTCCATTATTAATCCTTGTTAAAGTGGATGACAGACTGACTGTGTTGTGGTTTACAGCAATGCTATTTAATACGCGGCCCGCAGAGGCCAAGCACGTGTCCCACGAACCATTGCAGTTATCTTGTATTATCGGTCTTCCTATGCCGAGGCTCGGACCTGCAGCCCGTGACGATTCCCGTTTTCAAAATATTCACCCTTAAGTGCAATTAGCCCTGGTTTACAGCTAGGGACTGAGATATCTTCTTCCCTTCCCGACCAAAGGCATCCATTTCAGCAACCTCTTAATTAGTCAGCTTTTACGACATACCTGGCACAGGGACAGCCCATAAATTTGCAATTCCCCCATGCCGCAAAACAGGATCCCAAAACACAGAAAGAGCCACCCCTCCTTTTAATACGATACGATACAATAGGGCGGCATACGACTGATGTATAAAGTATATAGAACGTGACGGCGTTTGGTCATATCTGATGAACACAAGTCTCCAATCCGTCTATTTTTAAAGGCGATCACAGAGGAAGGTCTCCAAGCATCCAGAAATCCTTGCAACGGGCTGGCTGTCGTGTATCCAGCAGACAATAGCAATATGAAGAAAGGTTAAGTAGGTGATTTTAGAAAAGGACAGAAGAATTTTTTTGTAAGGTCCTGTATACATTTATACATCCACAAACAGACGCCGACACGCTTATCAGGACCCTTATGTTAGTCTATGTGTGTGTGTGTTTATGTGTGTGTGTGTGTGTGTGTGTGTTTTTGTGTGTGTGTGTTTGTGTGTGTGTGTGTGTGTGTGTGTGTGTGTGTGTGTGGTTACGCATTATGTATATATGTTTGTAGTCGGCATCTGTGGCTTGGGCGTTGCGAACAAACTTCGTAATGCCGGGCTGCCGGGATCGATCCCAGCTGCAAGCGATCTGGCAGCAAACGGCATTTCGTTGGTTTTGGCAGTGGCACCGACAGCAGAGGCAATGGCAAACTACCTAACGTAAAATGTGAATATACAAACCACACCAACCAAAACATGCTGGGGTTGTTATTGCAACGCCATGTAAATATTACGTAACTATATATATATATATATATATATATATATATATATATATATGTGTGTGTGTGTGTGTGTGTGTGTGTGTGTGTGTGTGTGTGTGTGTGTGCGCCGACAGAAAAAAATCCCCAGCCTTACCGAGGATTCGAACCCGGGTCTCCCGTTTGAGACGCTAGCGTTCTAACTGCTGATCCACTATAACACTCTACACTCAGTCAAATCTTCTTCTTTTGCGTCCATCCGAAGATGTCGTGTTGTATCCAGTTACCGCAGGGCTGTGATTATTTGCGCCTTTGGGTTGGCACATTCGACTTCTGCGGGCATTTGTTGACACGCTTAGTCTCCTCCGCATTCAGTCAAATAAGACAGTTGTAAATGCAATAGCTTGCCCCTAGTTCTCTCATCAACTCTTGATACTTTTATTCACGGACGTTAAACATCCATCCAAGGTGTATCTACGGGTGAACATCTATGTCTACCCAAAGTTGGATTTAGCCAGATTCTGTCGTTAACGTGATCTTTGCTTTCCAGCGACCGTCCCCAGCAAATATTTTTCTCGACATTTGCATAAAAATGTCAAGACAGAGGGCGGGAAAATTTTGACAAGGTTATTCCATAGATTTATATCTTGAGTTTGGGAGAGATTTAAATGTCTGGAGATTTACATTTCATGAAGTTATGAAGTAATAATGCAGGTATACAAGTTTACCTTTTCTGTTAACCTCTGTTTTCTTTCTAGATTCATCGTCTGGTCTTTCTTTCACATCTTTCTCTTATTTTTTATTTTCTTCACCAGTACCCACCACCCCCCCCCCCCACCGTTTCACCCCTTCTGTTTTTCTTCTCACCTTGGAAACAATTCGAGGAATGCTACAGTAAACTTGTTTCTGACAGATGTATGTCAATTTTAGAGATGGATATGCCTGAATGTAAACTGCCATAATCGCATTGTTTAAGTCTTTCTCCTTTATATTTTCTGTAAACAAATTGTGTCTGTGTGTGTGTGTGCACGAGCGTTTAAAAAAACTGCTAGGAAATTTTAAAAAAAGGGGGCGGGGGGGGGGGGTGATTTGCGTATTCAAGTGTGTGCCTCATAACATGCTCCATGTTTCAGACATTTATGTGACAGCTTTTTGCGCGTGTGTGTGTCAGTGTGCCTACGTGTGTGTGTGTGTGTGTGTGTGTGCGCGCGCCTGACCTGTACACTATATATATACACACAAACACACACGCACACACACACTCATACATACACACACAGACACACAGACACACATACCTACCTACCTACCTGCCTGCCTGCCTACCTACAGACAGACAGACAGACAGACAGACAGACAGACAGACAGACAGACAGACAGACAGACAGACAGACAGACAGACAGACAGACAGACAGACAGACAGACAGACAGACAGACAGACAGACAGACACACTCACACAGACAGACAGACAGACAGACAGACAGACAGACACGAACGCACGCACAGATAGACAGACATTAAATAGGGTACACTTTCAACATCAAAGTACGACACATTCCTACTAACTTTGGCTATATTATAGGGTCCTACAAATAATGGCACTGCAAAACATACCAGATGCAACCCAACAACTGCACACAGCGAACAAAGGAATAATGGTTAGAAATGTGTCTATACACACCTGTGAGCCATATGTCCCATAATTTCTTTTGATCTGAGAGCAGCCTGCAGCTGGTCTTCTTGTCGACTGGCGATGCCTGGAAGCAAGACACTCTCCAGAACTTGTCCCGTAGACAGAGCTGCTACACCCAGAACCGGAACGCCTGGTTCGAGATGGTGCATCATACTCGTTACTGAGATGAGAGTTG